GACAGAATGGGGAGACAACACATATAGAAGGTTTCAGCTGTAAGATGGATGGAAAAGTCTTATTGTCCTTAAGGTGCAGCAGCCAAGCAGGTGACAACACATATAGAAGGTTTCAGCTGTAAGATGGATGGAAAAGTCTTATTGTCCTTAAGGTGCAGCAGCCAAGCAGGTGTTGATGCCTTTCTTTAAAATGTCATTATTTAGTGTCACTATAACCAGGGCTCTCGGTTTCTGGGCTTTTCCCATCAGAGTCTGAGGGGATATGGTGGTCAAGGTGGTGGTGGCTGACTTTCACCTGCTGCCTCCTGGATCCCCTTCAGGGTGTCTTGCTTACCCTGAGGGTGGCATTTGGTTGGCAGTAAGTGGGGATGGCTGGCTGTTTTTCCATAGGAGTTGCTTCTTTGGATAATGGCTATGAGAGCTGGGCTGAAAGTGCAATGATGGTCTGGGGACTGCCACCACTCTCAGGGCTCCTGTGCCTCTCTGCCTATTAGTGGCAGTTGGTTAACAGTTGTTGTTGGTAGTGATGAGGAAGGTAGGCCCCATCTTCACCATGACTTCTCCCGTCAATGATGGCTGGGAGCAGGACTGTTGGTCTATGAGGCACTGCTATCCTGAAGGCTAATAAGATCTGTGGAAGGTGCTTTGTAAAACTGCATAACATAACAAAATGGGAGCTATTTTGGAAGGTTCTGCAAATAAGGTAGAAATAAAATTTTTGCTTATTAGTAAAAGTGGCCTCCTGGGCCAGGACTATAATCCTAACCTTTTTGCTCAGATCCCTAAATTTAAGAGAATAAGTCCCAAAATCTAGAAGATTCAGAACTTCAGGAATGCAATATTTCCAGGCAAGGTCATGCGGGTTGGGTCTGGTGAATATGGATGACAGACTAGATTTCCTTAGAGAATGAAAGTTTCTGACTTAAGCTTAAGAATAACAGCTTGTTAGTAGAAGTCTGAAGTGGGGAAAAAAAGTCCTCCAGCCATTTCAATAATTGGTCTGGCAGAGACCAGGCTCTAAAATTGAATTTTGTTGAAACTTTAACAAGTCCTTTATAGCACAATGAAAGGGGCACTGGCCCTTAAAACAAAGGACCTGGATTAAGATTCTATTTCTAAGGGGCAGCTAGGTGGGAAGTGGATAGAGCTCCGGCCTTGGAGTCAGGAAGACCTGAGTTCAAATCCGGCCTCAGAAACTTGACACTTACTAGCTGTGTGACCCTAGGCAAGTCACCTAACCCTGATTGTCTCACCAAAAAAAATTAAAAAATAAGATTCTCCTTCTAACATTGACAGTGTGACCTTGGACAGATCATTTAATTTCCCTGGGCCTCAAGTCTCCTTACCTGTGAAGATGGCCTTAGAGGTCCATTGTTTTATTTGACTGACGATCCTTTGATTCTACTAGAACAATGGAATGAAAAGGACATGAGGCAATGCAGAGACCAGAGGATCCTTGTCTCCTTATTCCTCCACATTCCAAACTATGAGACATCAGCTGCGGGCAGAAAGACTCATTTCTACAATAAGATTAATAGCAGGGACCCAGAGACCCTTCCCTCAGTTTTCTGGCAAAGGCAGCTAAAATCATTTCCTAAAATTTTAAAAAGATAGAATTGTTGGTGAATATATTCAGAAACCAATAGTGGGATCAGGTGTGGCCAGGTAGCCAAGAGCTTTAGCTACAAGAAGCTACATGGTGTGCTCACCATCCTCTCTGCCTCACCCTGAAACTGTCACCTTGGCTTCTGTGCAGCTGTTTCCACTTCAGTAAAAAGTGTCTCCTGCTGCTGGTCAGTGAGCTGAATCTTCAAGGACGGTTTCTTGTTTCTCTTCTAATGATGACAGTTCCTTAGGTTACAAAGTGTTCAGAAAGACCCCTGGCCTCATCTAACTCCCTGATTTTTGTTTTTGTTGGTATTGAGTCATTTTAGTCGTTCACGACTCCATTTGTGGTTTTCTTGGCAAGGTTATTGGGGTGGTTTGCCATTTCCTTCTCCAGCCCATTTTACCAATGAGGAACTGAAGCAAGCAGGGTCAAGTGACTTTCCCAGGGTCACACAGCTGGTAAGTGTCTGAGGCCAGATTTGAACTCAGGAAGATCAGCCTTCCTGACCCCAAGCCTGGCACTCTATCCACTCTTCCACCTAGCTGCCAACACTCTAATTTTACAGGTAAGAAAATTGAGAGTCAAAAAGATTGGATAATCTGATTATTGAGAAGGCATCTCTTTTCCCAAAGGTATTAAGTAACAGACATTGGGATATGAATCCAATGTTACTTTATCCATGTGATGTTGTTTGATCTTCACCATAGCTCTGTGATATAAGTTAGCATTATTCCTACTTTAACAATCAGAGTCATCACAAAGTCTCAGAGTGTCAAAGTTACAAGGGAGTTCTGAGGCCATGAAGTCCAACCTATATCTAAGCAAGAATCCCTTCTAGACCATCTCTGATAAGTATCATCCGTTCTCCTCTTGAATACTTTCTTGGATGGGGAGTCCATTACCTCCTGAGGCACTCTATTTCTCCCTTTTGGTGAGAAGGTTTTTCTTTGTTTCCTTTTTTTTTCTTAACAGTATTTTATTTTTTCCCATTACATATGAGAAGGTTTTCCTTACACCAAACCAAAATTTGCCTCAATCACCCATTATTCCTAGCTTCAATTCCAAGCAAAACAAGTCTAATCTTTCTACATAATGGCTTTAACAATCTGACAAACAACAGATATTATTTTTAACTCCCAGCATTTCCTTATAGTTTGATTTTTTGGGGGGCAGGCAATATGGCCCCAGGGAAGATTTAAAGGCACAAAAAATTTAAATCCCAAGTCTGTTACTTCTTACCTACGTGAAATCAGTCAAATTATTTAATCTCTCTGGGTCTCACTTTTCTTGCCTGTAATATTAGAGTTATAGGGTTAGACTCGATTGGTGGTCTCCAAATTTTCTTGATCATTTGCCCCATGAATAAACATTTTTGAACCTATACCTCTAATATATATATATTGGTTGTTAAGTCATAACCAACTCTTCCTGACCACATCTGGGGCTATCTTGACAAAGATACTGGGATGGCTTGCCATTTTTTCTCCAGTTCATTTTACAGATGAGGAAACTGAGGTAAACAGGGTTAAGTGGCTTGCCTAAGGTCACAGCTAGTAAGTGTCTGAGTCTGAATTTGAACTCAGGTTTTCCTGACTCTAGGCCCTATACTCTGTCCACTGTACCACCTACCTGACCGTATGTATATTTACTCCTTTATTAATTATATACATGTATTGTGGTTCTAATAATTATAGACTACAAAACTAGGTAACATAGAAATGGAAAAGGATGAGATAAAGATGAAAAAATATGTGATCCCATGTATCCATGCAGGCTGCCCATATGCCTAGAATATACCCCCTCCTTATCTCTGGGCAGTGAGATGTTTCTCTTCCTTCAAGGCTTAGCTCAGGTACTACATTCTGCATGGAGCCTTAACCGATACCTTCAGATGAAGGTGATTTCTCCTTCCTCAAATATTGTTACAGCATTTTGTCTGGACCACTTCTTTGCTTCTGTATCTGAAGTCATGAAAACCTGAGTTCAAATCCAGCCTCAGACACCTACTAACTGTGTGACCCTGGGCAAGTCACTTAACCTCAATTACCACAACAGAAAAGAAAAGAAAATCTCATCGGCATTTGTGTGGAGGGTGGGTTGGAAGGTTGAGACTAGAAGAAGAGAGGTTAATTGAGAGGCTACTACAAAATCCCAGGCAAGAGATGATCAGGGCCTGAACGAGGATGGTGAAAGAAACCACAGGTGCCAGAGATGTAGTGGAGGGTAGCAGTAGAAAGCACAAGATTTTACAACCGACTAAATTTATGGGGTGAAGGAAAATGAAGAGTCAAAGAAGATATTGATGTTGTGGACCTGAGTAACTATAAGAATGATGGTGCCCTCCTTAACAGGAAGTTAAGGAGAAGGGTAGATCTTGAGGGAAAGATAAAGTAAGGAGATCTTCCACATAGCTCACAAATCACCCGCATCTGTTTATCCTCGATGGCTCACACAGTCCCATCTGAAACACGTGGGTGTGCACGCATGCACATGCAGGAAGGGAAAGCTCTTAGTCACTGAACATGCCCCCAAAGAGTAGTCCAGGGGTGCCTACCACAGTAAGGTGGTCATCAAGATCAGGATCAAGTATTTTAAGGTCAGGCTAAGTCTCCCCAGTTCCTTCCACAGAAAAAAATGAATTTAAACTCTAATCCAGAAGCAGTAGAGCTACTGATATTTTGGAGGCAAGGAGTGACTGAATAGATTTCTGCACAAGAAAATTTGTCTGGTGGTCGTGTGAAAGATGGATTGTAGGAGGAAAGAGGGAAGAAGTGGGAAAGACCTATGGAGAGGCTATTGTTATAATCTAGGCAAGTAATAATGAGGACCAATGGTAGGGCTTTCTGGGGCAGCTAGGTAGAAAAGTAGATAGAGAAGATTCATCTTCCTGAGTTCAAATCTAGTGTCAGACACTTACTAGCTGTGTGACCCTAGGCAAGTCACTTAACCCTGTTGGTCTCAGTTTCCTCATCTGTAAAATGAGCCAGAGAAGGAACGGCAAACCACTCCAGTATTTTTGCCAAGAAAACCCCAAATGGGGTCACAGAGAGTCAGATTTGACTGAAAACAACTGAACAACAACATTGTAGGGCTCAACAGGGGAAACAGGGAAGGAAAGGGGACAAAAGATATTGACAAGTCACCTCATTTCTTTAGATCTAAATCTCATGATTTGTAACAGGTCTGAGAAGTAGAGTAGATTATTTCTGCATTCCCTTCTAGATGTAAAATTCTATCAAAAACCAAAACCAAAACAGGCATATCTGTGATAAGGGATCCCAAAGAAGGAGAGAGAATTCTGATTGCATTTCAGGTTTTTATAAAACAGCCATGTTTTCTTTGAACAATAACTACTAACCAACATTTGTTTTTTTTTTATTTCCCTTTGTAGCTCTGTTTACTGCTTACCTGACCGCAGCGTTAACAAACATGATGGCTGTGGTAAGTATGACTTTATCTGGATTTTCCTGTCGTGTTAGAATGAGTACCGTAAGCTCCTTTGGAACTTCTCTAGACTAGTTTGTATCAAATCCAAGGAAGTTTGATTTTGTCCAACATCACAGTAAACTTTGGTCCGCTGTGTCACTGGGTCTGTTGAAAATACAAGTTATGTAACATAAAGCTGGTGATGTATGTTGTCGTTCAGGTTGTGTGTTAGATGCCACAAATCCATCCCCTCATTAGATAGGCAAAATGTGAGTTCTCAGGAGCTAATCCTCCAGGTCCTCCAGTTTGAACACACCAAGATGGTAAACTTTGGGACAATGGCAAAATGAAAAAAAAAATCAGTCACCCAAACCCTCCCAAATTAGTGCCTCCTTTTTTAAAAATCACTTCTCATTCCTCCAGATTTTTGTTTATATCAGTCAATTGATCAATAAACATTTTGTAAGCACAGGTCTGGCTTAATCATTAAATAAGCAGTGTGCTTTCAGCAAAATCAGTTCCATTTTCTGAACATCTGGTTGCCTGTGTCTAGAATGCTCTCCCTGCCCTCCCTTCTTCAGCTTCATTCTTCCCCATCCTTTCTTGATCCCACCATTTCCATAACAAAGTCCTTCCCTGGACCTCGTTTGGTCACTCTGCTTTGCAACAACCTGAGGTATGTATTGAACATTGTGTACTATAATTATTTTTTTAAAAAAAATTCAATATCTACTGTGTGCCAACAACTGTATCAGGTAAGAGAGAGACCCCCAAAGAAAAAAAAGAGCCCCTGACCCCAAGGACTTTACTTAAACTGTACTGGACAATATGTCAGTTAACCAACAACCATTTATTACCCTACTGTTTGCCAGGCACCATGCTAAACATTGGGAATACACACACACAAAAAAAGCCTCTGCTGTCAGAGAGTTCATGGTCTAACAGGGGAGAGACAACAGAAAAACCACTATGTACAAATATTTATATATATATATGTGTGTGTGTGTATCTTTGTGTGTTTACACACACACTCTCAATTTATCTTGTGTATGTATATGTGTATACGTATGTGTATACCCTCTCAATTTATCCTGTATATATATATATATATATATAAACGTGTGGGTGTGAGTATACACACACACACATACATACACTCACACACATACCCAGAGGATAAATGGAGAGTAAACTAAGAGAAAAGACACTAAGATTAATGAGAAACAGGACAGGTATCTTGTAGAAAGTGGAACTTTAGCCAAGACTTGGAGAAAGCCAGGAATCCAGAAGACAGAGCTGAGGAGAGAGTTCCAGGTATGGAAGAGACCAGTGAAGATGCACAGATTCAGGAGAAGGAGTGTCTTGTTCCAGTAGCACCATGAAGGCCAAATCACAGGATACAATTTAGAGAGGGGACTAAGGCATAAGAGAACTGGAAAGATAGAAAGGGGGTCTAGTTATAATAAATACATTTTGTTAGAAGCTCCGTCATTTCACTGGCATAAGGAGTCTCTCACTAGGAATGTAGATTGCTACCTGTTCAGCAACTTAGGATCTTAGATAGCTGTCAGGAGCATTGGGAGGTTAAGTAACTTGCCCAGGGTCACATGCACAATTTGGGTGGGAGGTAGGATTTGAACCCGTGTCTTTCTGACTCCAGGACCAGGCTATGTTGCTTCTCAAATAAAAAGCAGACATAAAGTTAATGCAAAGTAATTTTGGCTGAGGGAAGTAGGGGGAGAAGGATACTAACAAATAGAGATTAGGAAAGGCCTCCTATAGGCGTTTAAGGGCAACTAGGTGGCGCCATAGTGCATAGAGCACCAGGCCTGGAGTCAGGAAGACTCATCTTCATGTGTTCAAATCTGGCCTCAGACATTTACTAACTGGGTGACCCTGAGCAAGTTACTTGACCCTGTTTGCCTCAGCTTCCTCATCTGTAAAATGAGCTAGAGAAGGAAATGTCAAACCACTCGACGATCTTTACCAAGAAAACCTTAAAATGGGGTCATGAAGAGTCAACACAACTAATCAGTTAAACAACAGAATCTATAGGAGTTGGCACTTCAGTTCAATTTTGGTTCAGGACTCTAAGGGGGGGGGTGGTAAAGAGAGAATGAATTCCAAGTATGTGTGCCCTTCTGTGCCAAGATCCTCCACTAATGCAGGAGAGGCCTGGGAGACAGAAGGTTGTGTATGGAGAACAGCAAGAAGGCCAGCTTAGCTGGAAAAGGCATCAATGTACAATAAATCTAGAAAGCTAGGCTAGAACTAGATTGTGAAGGGTTTTAAATGCTAAACAAGGATGAGTTCATACTTTATCCTAGAAGCCATAGGGAATAGAGGGAACCATAGGAGTTTCTTGAGTGTGGTGGGGGAGGAAATAGGGCTGGGAAGAGGGATGGACCAAGTGGAATATATGCTGAAGTTCTAAAGCAGGAGTCAAAGGACCTGGGTTCAAATCCCACCACTGATGCTTACTATCCCTGTGATCTTAGGCAGGTCATTTGACCTCCCTGGGGTTATTTAACCTCAGTTTATTTGCCAGTCATATGAGGGGGTTAGACAGGATGGTCCCTGAGGAGGCTTTCAGCTCTCAAGCTCTGATCTTACCTCAGCATTCCAGGAAGACTTAAGCTACCTCTGTTTCCTGTTCCTTCTTTTCCAGTTTGGTTTGTCAACATGCACCTGGCCCTTCTGCTTGGCCACACTCATCTTCCTCTTAGTGACAACCAAAAATCACTCCATCTACAAGCTGCCGCTCAGCAAAGTAACTTACTCCGAGGAGAACCGCATCTTCTACCTGACAGCAAAGAAGAAGTTAGCAGAAAGCCCTTTGTGATGGAAAGACCAAGTCAAAGCCAGACCTTCTGATTTTAAACCCAGATGACACCATCAACTTGTAGTATCTGTGATTTAATATCTTCAACTATAGTAGAATCTTTCAAATTAACCATACAGCAATTACTACACTTTATTCTTTTGGGGGGGGGGGGGTTAGGCAATGGGGTTAAGTGATTTGCCCAGGGTCACACAGCTAGTAAGTGTTATGTGTCTGAGGTTGGATTTGAACTCAGGTCCTCCTGAATCCAGAGCTGGTGCTCTATCCACTACGCCACCTAGCTGCCCCAACCACTCTTTATTCTTGATAAAAAAAAAAAATCCATCTTTTTCACTTGCTTATTGCTTTCTATTGGAGGTCACTAAGATGCCTTTGATTTAGGCTCATCTAATATAGCAGGTAACATGCCCCAGCAAGTCACTACACCTCTCTGGGCCTCAGTTTTCTCATCTGTAAAATGAGAAGGTTAGAATACATGTGACTTCTATGTTCCCTTTCAGCTTCAAATCCAATAGGCCTATATTCTGAGAGGGAGCAAGGGGCTATGGATCTGTAAATATTTGATTTGGAGGAGAGTTGGAGAATTAAAGAATGTATCGGCCATTCATTAAAAGAGAAGAGGAACTGAGTACAGAGGCTGCTATGCTATTGCTCTTTCCTGTGTGTGCCAGGATGGTTGTGATTAACAGATGCATAAAAGATATTAACAGTATTAAATATTAAGTGCTATGCCTAACTGGCCTTAAGCCAATAGAGCCCAAAGCAGCAGATGGCCCTAAGGTCACCTCAAATAGAGAGGAAGATGTTTAAAACATTCAGTGCTGGCTACACTATGAAGTCTAACATGGTGAGCATGGACAGGTGAATAGTCACAGCAGCTAAAGGAGTCTCCATGTAATTATAAAAAGTTAAGTTTTTGTCCACTGTTGTTTTATATTCTCCTAGTTACAGGGCTCCATGGCCTTGGGTTGGGTTGTTTTCTCTCTCGGGACTGACAGTGAAGTCGGAGGAAGACAGGATATGATTAATATCCGTCCTGCACTGTCACTCTTGTTGGGGTCTGGCAATGACTTCAAAAACACCGTCTCCTGAGAACAGAGTTATTTTGAAGAGAATAAAATGAATGAACCTCTCTTCTCAGCTTCACCATCTCATTCAATTTACGGTCTAGTTACACATTGATTGAACTAGCCTTTGAAATTCTTGGCAGAACCAATTTACTTGAAATTAATAAAAATTATTTTGAATATGCCATGAATATGAGTAAAAGGAAATTGGTTGTTAATCCTTTGGCAATTTACAGTCACATTTTTCAGATTTGACTTTTTTTTTTTTGCATATTTTCAAAGCCTGGGGCTTTTTCCATTGGATATAATGATTGCTTATTGATGTTACTTATTAAATTAATAGTCTTAAATTAATGCAGTAACTTTTATACTAAAAACTTTATCTCATTAGTTTGCATGGAATGATACTATTGTGCTTTCAGAAACCAAAGGAGTTTAAACTACTGAAAGAATGTAGATAACGACTTCTATGACATTCACATCTACATGCTAGAATAGTCTACTAAGGATCCCCCAAATAATTGTAGAGCATGATCCTTTCACCTCTTTTAATCAGTGTAACTGGTTGACTGAGCTGTCTGTCTGCCAGCATCAAGCCATCCAGTGACCATTTAAATTAGTCAATTATATTTTTGCTGGTTGGCTTGATAATGATAGACATCTCAGCTAGCCAGGCACAGGGAATACAGGAACACTGAAAACGATGGATGTGTCCTCTTCCTTCAGGACACTGCCACTTTTTCAGCACAAGAAGGTTTCAGGTAGCCTTCTGGAAGACACAAAGTATATATGCTGCTTTGCCAAAAAATCTCTAGAACAGCAGACACTGGACCACTGCTTAGTCTAGCTCTCATCACTTCAGAAGGAATTGCAGGGAGGGGAGGTTATGGTGGTCCAGCTGAAGACAGAGCATCTTCACTTGGGTCATTGGCCCAGTTCGGTTACAGCCTATAACACGGGTGGGGAACTTGTGGCCTTGAGAACAAATGTGGCCTTCTAGGCCCTTGGGTGTGGCCCTTTGACTGAGTCCAAGTTTTACAGAACAAATCCTTTTATTAAGGAGGTTTGTTCTGAGAAGTCTGGATTCAGTCAAAGGGCGGCACTTGAAGGCCACAGGTTCCCCACCCCTGGCCTAAAAGATACTGGAAGGAAATGGGGTAGTGCTTTTACTCCTTGTTAGTCATTATAACACAGCCTGTACATGCCACCAAAATACATGCTCAAAATGGAATGACATTTTTGTTAAAATATGAATCTGTCATTTTGGAAGTTTTAGAAAATATTTCTTTTTACTTATAGTTTCCAATGCAAAGTCTGTATTTAAACTCATTGAAGTGAAGGACTGGGACCAAAGAAGTAATCAGTCAATTAGCAAGCATGATTAAGCATCTACTATGTGCCAGGAAGTATGCTAGGAGATAGGGGATACTAAGTCAGTCTCTGCTCTCAAGAAACTTACCTTCTATTCAGTGGCTCAAGGAGAAGACCATAGATCATAGCTATTTTTCCTCTGAGGAGAATATACCAGTTTTTCTCATGTGAAGGCCCTGGTGATCAAAGCTTTTTTACTTCTTTAGTTTGCAACTGCAATTCAGTTCAACAAGCATTTATTATATGCCTACTATGTTCTAGGTGCAAGGCATACAGAGAAAGGAACAAAAGATCCTACCTTCTAGTAAGTCATTCTAAATACGTATACATTCCTATGGCAAAAAGAAATCTTCAGTGTTTGCATTGACATTTATTTTGTTAGAGAATCTGTGAAATGAGAGCTTTAGAAATCAGGAAGAATAACAGTAATAAATAACAAAGAAAACAAAATGCCACACAGGTTCTGAAATCTGTACTTCAATTATGAGTGAATGAGCAACAATGGAGATGATCCATGTATGACTCGTGCTCAGAGTGGATCCATGACAGGTGTCTGTTCTGAATAGAGCAACTTTTCATGAAGTGACTTCACACAATTGTAAATATACTCATCTGAAAGCACTGTAAATAGAACAAGCTAACATGGTGTTAATTTTCTTGTTTCTTGTTATGTAGTGAGTATTATTCTAACAACATGTATATATTTTTATCTTTACTCCAATGAAGAGATTTGTGTGTATGTGTTTTTCTGTCATTTGTATTACATTTCTATGCAAGCTTATACCAATAAATAAGTATAGTCACAATTCAGTCACAGGTGCTTGTTTTAAAGATAATTACATAGACAGATAGGTATGACATTCATTCATTCATTCATTCATTCAACCAAAAGTAGTTACTAAGTACTTTCTGTAGCAAGAGAGATAAGACACAAAAACTAAATAACTATAATGCATAACATTACATGATAAATACATTAATGAGGTACAAAACCAGGTACTTACTATGTGAGAGAAGGAGTTGGGGAGGGAGAAAGAGACAGCAAAATAGCAGGGTGTAATGGCTAGAGAACAGGATCTGAAGACTTTGGTTCAAATTCTGCTTCTAGTGCTATCTTGACCATGAGCAAATCACATAACTTCTAAGACCCTCAGGCAACTCTCTAAGATTCTGTACAGCACCCAACGGTCCATTTTGCACATGATCTCCACCTTCATACTAGTCCATTTCTGAAGCACTTTGTGGGTGCTGGTCAGCTTTCAAATAAAAACCATTCATAAGCCCTCATTAGTGTGTTTCTTTTACCAGTCAACCTGAGGACAGAATCGTTCAAATCAAACGACATAGTGAGACAGCTGACAGAAGTTTCCTCCACATGTCCCAGGATAGACTCTCCCACAAATTGTCATACCATTAAGATGGAATGAACACACATAGAGCCCTTGTGATCGAGGCAACATACATAGCAGGACACACACTCACAGTGTAATATGTATCTCTGGCATTACAGAGTTTCCAATGTCCTCTGGTGAAGTCACTGAACAAGCTGCTTTCCCTGCAGAGCCTGAGTCCTTTTATGCCCTGTTTTTTCCACTGCATGGGGCAGCTGGGTGGCACAGTGGATACAGTGCTGGACCTGAAGTCCTGGAGCTGCATCTTCCTGAGTTCAAATCTGGTCTCAGACACTAGTTGTGTGACCCAGGACAAGTCACTTAAACTCTGTTAGCCTCAGTTTCCTCATCTGTAAAATGTGCTAGAGAAGGAAATGGCAAAACCACTCCAGTATCTCTGCCAAAAAATCTTCAAAATGGTGTCATGAAGAGTAAGACACAACTGCAAAAGGACTGAACAACAACTTTCCCCAGCACATGCTCTCTGCTAGATGGTCTTCGTTGTTCTCTGCTGGGGCCGGCCATTGGGTACCTCTAATGTTCTTGGCTTCTATCTATTGGTCTCTACTGAAGCATTCTTGGCTACAGGGTGTCTGCTCTGAAAAACCGTTAGCCCTAGGCTGTCCTTTTCAGATGCACTCAGCGAGCTAGGGAAAACCCTTGTGTATTTTAAGTCTCTCTTCTGTACTAGCTCTTCTTCTCTGACTCTTTGTTTAATTCTTTTCTGAGCAAGGAATTTTCTGGCTCTACCACAGCCTCAGTCAAAGCAAGTTATTTCCCAGGTCTCCATTTAACAAACTGCAAAGAGGCTGAGTGAAGCTGTTATGGAAAGATTGTTTTCAACCCTCATCTTGTGTTCCATGAGAATCACAGGCTAGGTAGAGCAGGCTGCAAAGTGTGGGTGACCAATGGATTGTGATCTGGGTAGGTCAAGAGAATTTCCACATTGATCAAATCACAAGTCCTTGACTACTGCTATGAATGTGTTCAAGTAAGTGCATACATGTATACATACATACATGCATACATACATACACACATACACACACATCGAACTGAGGGATTTGGAATTGTTATTTCACTGTTGTAGGGAACTTCCAGTATGGGAACTCTCTCCACAGATGCAAATCAGCGGCTTATCTGTAGCTTATACTCTTTTTTTTTTAAGATTTAATTAAATTTGAAGAGTAAGCCATCCCTCTTAAAGAGATTGCTTGCCCAGCACATC